CATAATATCATCATCCTTTTATCTTGTAGGCTTAAAAGATAACCACAGAACCATGGTAGAATAGTGTGACTTAGTTGTATATACCATGTAATTAAAGACACCCATTTATCATTCATAATATCATCAACCTTTTATCTTGTAGGCTTAAAAGATAACCACAGAACCATGGTAGAATAGTGTGACTTAGTTGTATATACCGGTATATGTAATTAAAGACACCCATTTATCATTCATAATATCATCAACCTTTTATCTTGTAGGCTTAAAAGATAACCACAGAACCATGGTAGAATAGTGTGACTTAGTTGTATATACCGGTATATGTAATTAAAGACACCCATTTATCATTCATAATATCATTTTTTTTTTTTGAACTACAGGTGAATGGAACTTTGGTTACCCAAGCTAATCACAGTGAAGTTGTGGAGCTTATTAAATGTAAGTTCATTTTATCACAGCTGTTTTGAGGAGTTAAGACTGACAAGTGTATTAAACTCACTATTCATATTGTGACAGTTGTAAAGATTTTTAAAACTTATTCATAAAATTTACTTAATGATCAAATAAGAAAATTTGGTGACTTTTTTCAACTCGTGTAGTATTCTTAGTGCAGTATTTTGCAATTTGCAGCTGTATATAAAGAATACAAACTTCAGTGGATTCTCCTCAAACCTTGAACCTGAAGTAATGTTCTTTATGATTCATCAGAATTTAGATGGTTCATCAATAAATCTTAATTTTTTATTCTTTTCAATCCATGTAATTTAATAAACAAATCCATAATTAAATTTAATAGTGGGTTTTGGCATTTGGGTATTAAATCATTTGTATGGTTTGTTCACTTTATGATAACTTAAGACTAATTATTAATTAATCTTATTTGATATTAATTAACAATTAACATATGTCCAGTATTTTAGTTGCTAATATGCTGTCAAGGAAATCCTGAGATCAAATATCTACATAAAGTGAGACACAGAATCACATTAACAGGATTCATAAATGTACATAATGCTTGCAATTGAGGACACTGTATGGTGTTAACAGAGGGCATATGCAAGTTGTTGGAACATGGTCTATGGAGAAACTATAAATACACAACAGAAAACCACATTTTACACAATCAGTACATGATACATCATTAATCATATTTATTAAATGAATACCCACACTTTTGTAAAACTTAAAAAATGTGACTGGTGTTTTGGCTAATTATCAGTGATAGAGAGTAGAATAAAATACATGTGGTTACCTATGGTGTTAATTAAGTTCAAAGGTTGACTTGAAGTGTGTTGAAGAGAGATGGCAGTGAAATTAAAAATTATTTCATATAAACAACCTAAAGTACATAGTTTTTCAAAAGCCTAATTTAATGTAATAGTTTGCAAGTATCATTATAAAACATTCAAGTTTGACGTTCTGAATAACACACACACTTTTATGTTTGAAACTATAAACTTCTTTCAATTTATGATTACAAATATTCCAGATAAGTTATGCTGCAATAATTATTACAACTTATTAGATACAATAGAAATTGTTCAGCATTACAGATTTTATGAACAGAGCTCAAAAACTCTTCATGATTTTACACACATTAAGCTTCTTCTATTGGTATTTTTTGTCACCGTATTTTTAGTAACCTCTTCCTACCAATTATAAATAGTAATTTTACAGACTACCACAATTTTACAAAAACTGTAACATCTGCATTTTAATTTACTTAATTAAAGATAATGAACAACTTGTATAAGGTGACCACTGTTAGTTCTACTTCCTAGAAATGAATAAAAATCCTATAACCCGAGCACTTTCGAAAGGTGGACCTTTCATCTTCAGGGAAAATTAGGAATGGTGGTGTAATCGATTGAGTGATACATACATATATATATAAAGGGAGTTTAGTGACATCATGAAGGTCATCTAGTTTTCCTGGAAATGTTTAGTCTATTTCTCTATGTACTGTTGTAAGCATCTCATTTCCAGTACGGTGTAGCCGATAGCAAGAGTGTATGTGAAAAGGTGTTAGGGATAGATACATGTATATTTGAAACTATACTTAAGTGTTTAAGTGAAATAAAGGTGACACCTAGAGACTGATTGAAAATGATATGTTATGTTAATCAATTTATAAAAACAGGTATGGAAAATTATTTTAAATAAATAGTAAGTTTTAAGAAATTCAGCGTTCACATTACATGAAAAAAAATAAGACAAAGAGTTAAAAATTTATTTTTACTGACAGAGATGAAAACAATGAACGGAGATCACTGATTCCAGGATCTAGATTAATCTGAAAGGTTGAACAGTGTTTAGATAAGCAAACCAATAAGCTTTAC